TTCAGAATCTGTCCTTCCAGTGAGCACTCAGGGTTGATTTCCTTTAAAATGGATAGGATTGTTTTCTTTGCAGTCCAGGGGACTCTCAAGAGCTTCCTCCAGCACCACAGTTCAAAAGCGTTAATTCTTGAGTGGTCAGCCTTTTTTATGGTCCAGCTCTCACTTCCATACATTGCTACTGGAAAAACCATACCTTTCACTATGCAGACCTTTGTTGGCAAGGTGATGTCTCTGTGGTTTAAGATGCTGCCTAGGTTTGTCATGGCTTTCCTCCCAAGAAGCAGGTGTCTTTTAATTTCGTGGCTGCTGTCACCATCTGCAGTGATCATGGAGCACAAGAAAGTAAAAACTGTTATTTGCTCCATATCTTCCCCTTCTGTTTGCCAGGAGGTGATGGGACCATTTGCCATGATCTTAGTTTTTCTAATGTTGAGCTTCAGACAATTTTTGTGCTCTCCTCTTTCACCCTCATTAAGAGGTTCTTTAATTCCTCCTTACTTTCTGCCATCAGAGTGGTATCATCTGCATATCGGAGGTTGTTGATATTTCTTCCGGCAATCTTAATTCCGTTTTGGGATTCCTCCAGTCCAGCCTTCCGCATAATGTATTCTGCATATAAGTTAAATAAGCTGGGGGACAATATACAGCCTTGTCATACTCCTTTCTCAATTTTGAACCAATCAGTTGTTCCATATCCAGTTCTAATTGTGGGAATATTTAGCCTTAAGAGGGGACATGAAGCCATGTTTAAATATCAGGGGTTGTTATATTTCTTCCAGCAATCTTAATTCTAGTTTGGCCTACATACTGCTGAAGGCTACCTTGTAGGATTTTGAGCATAACCTTGGTAGCATGTGAAATGAGTGCAATTGTGTGGTAGTTGGAGCATTCTTTGGCACTGCCCTTCTTTGGGATTGGGATGTAGACTGATCTTTTCCAATCCTCTCGCCACAGCTGAGATATCCATACTTGCTGGCATATTGAGCGTAGCACCTTAACAACGTCATCTTTTAAGATTTTAATTATTTCAACTGGAATGCCATCACCTTCACTAGCCCTGTTGTTAGCCATGCTTTCTAAGGCCCACTTGACCCCACTCTCCAGGATGTCTGTGGCTCAAGGTCAGCAACCACAGTATCTGGGTTGTCTGGGACATCCAGATCTTTCTGGTATAATTCCTCTGTGTATTCTTGCCACCACTACTTGATGTCTTCTGCTTCTGTTAAGTCTCTACCATTTTTGTCCTTTATCATGCCTATTTTTGCACAAAATGTTCTTTTCAGATCTCCAATTTTCTTGATCTCTGGTTTTTCCCTTTCTATTATTTTCCTCTATTATTTTGCACTGTTCATTTAAGAAGGCCCTCTTGTCTGTCCTTGCTATTCTTTGGAAGTCTGCATTCAATTTTCTGTAGCTTTCCCTATCTCCCATACATTTTGTTTCCCTTCCCTTCTCTGCATTCTAGCAGGATTAGCTAAAGATGAACATATCCTTGCCAGAGCTAATGCTGTACTCGTAGCTCTTTCAATATCATTATTGACAAATATGGTATGTAGCAGAAGGAATCCACCCACGTCCGTGTCAAAATTCTTCTTAGGGATGAAACAGACTTTGTAGAAGTGACTATTCTAATCTGTAGGATGATTTGTCCTTAGAATATCTGCTGAAACAGCATATGAGATTTTTTTCCAAGCTCCAGACTACAGCACACTCCAACAGGTGCTCAGAGAAGTTCAGATTTCAGGATTGCGTTCACTACAGTTTCTATTTAAACCAACATTTAAACACAGCACAGCTCTCTGAGAGCTGAATGTGTTCATGTGAACTGAGGAAGGCCTGTGAAAGTTCAAGGTATATGTTTAATAAATATTCAAGACTTGTAACTTTCTAGAACCCCAAACCTTGAATAATCAAAATCTTATACATTATAGAAACTATTGCAAAGAGGC